CTCCCCGCTGCACTGTGGGCTCGTATTTCAGCGACTATTGGTTGAGGCAGCGGAAGTTACTCCCACAACAGTAGCTAACAACTTAAAGTCAATTAAGTGCTGATCAAGAGAAGAGTGCACAAGTCAATGTGGTATACACAACACACATTAGCTCTACAAAGGAAGAAAATATGAAAACGTGTCTAGGTCTTGAAAATGCTATGTTAAGTGCAAAAGTGACTCACAAAAGGCCATGTGCTCTATGATTCCACTCACATGGGGAACCTAAAGTAAACACAATAGAAAGAAGTCTAGTGGAACTGGGGGAGGTAGAGAGTTATTGCCTAATAGGTGTATGGAGTCAAATTTTCAGGATAAAAAGAGTTCTGTGGGTGAAGGATGGTGATTGTTGTGCTTAATGTGCAACGTGCTTAACACCACTGAACTCTTTTGTTATAGGCTCTTCACCACAATTCAGATGTATAGGAGGGGGCTGGAGAGATGGATCAGTTGTTAAGAGCTCTGACTGTTCTTTCAGGGGACCAGAGTTCAATCCCTAGCACCTACATGATGGTTCAGAACCATTTATAACTCCAGCCCTGGAGGATTCAACACCCTCTTCTGGCCTCTGATGGTACTGAATACATGTGTTACATCAACACATATAAGGGCCAAACACCCACAACCATAAAATAAAAATAAGAATTTTCTGCATTGCTGGTGGGAATGCAAGCTGGTACAACCCCGTGGATGTCAGTGTGGCGATTTCTCAGAAAAATAGGAAACAATGTTTCTCAAGACCCAGTAATACCACTTTTGGGTATATTTCCAAAAAATGCTCAATCATGCCACAAGGACATGTGCTCAACTATGTTCATAGCAGCTCTGTTTGTCATAGCCAGAACCTGGAAACAACCTAAATGCCCCTCAACTGAAGAATGGATACGGAAAATGTGGTCCATTTACACAATGGAGTACTACACAGCAGAAAAAAATAATGACATCTTGAATTTTGCAGGAAAATGGATAGAGCTAGAAAACATCATTTTGAGTGAGGTAACCCAGACACAGAAAGACAATTATCACATGTGCTCACTCATAGGTGGTTTTTAAACATAAAGCAAAGAAAGCCAGCCTACAAACCACAATCCCAGAGAACTTAGACAACAACGCGGACACTAAGAGAAACTTACATAGATCTACATGGGAAGTAGAAAAAGACAAGATCTCCTGAGTAAATTGGGAGCAAGGGGACCTTGGGGGAGGGCTTAAGGGGGGAGAGGAGAGACAAGGAGGGGAGCAGAGAAAAATGAGAGCTCAATAAATATCAATTAAAAAAATAAGATAAAAAATTTAAGAGTAACTATATCAGTTACTTTTTCTCATTACTATTGGAAAACACTTAACAAATGCAACTTAAGGCAGGAAGAGTTTATTTTGGCTCAGGGTAAGAGATAAAACCCATCACAGCGGGCAGGACATAGGTGCAGGAGCATTAGACAGCTCACACGTTGTGTGCACAGGAGAGAGAGATGAAAAGCTAGCGCTCAGCTCAATTTCTCCTTTTTTCTTCCATCTACAACCCCAGTCCATGGATTGGAGAGAGCCACATTCCTCCAGGTCTTAGCTGTACCTCTCCGGAAAGGATCTCACAGAAATACCCAGAGGTGTATCTCCCAGGTTACTCCAAGCCCAATTAAGCGGCCAAGAAATATTAGCCGTTACAGAAACAAAAAGCCAGAGCATGGAATCTGCACATGGAAAGAGCTGCCACCTGCTCACTGACATCAGCAAAAGATAGCTTTATAGCAGGTAGGGGCATTAGTCATCTAGGGTGCATCCAACACTCCCGGCCACTGGGTGGCTCCTCTAGGGTTACAAATCAGAGAGAAACAAGGCATTCTCTCCATAAAGACTGGTAGCGAGCACCAGGGAGGACAACAGAAAAAGTAAGGGGAAGGACAGCTTGTGTGTGAGAACTTAAATATATTCCTAAAAGTAAGTGCAGAAAATACAGTCAGTTAGGGCACTGGCTCGTCAGGCTTCACACCGGCTGGTCCAACCCAGTGCCAGGACCCCAGTTCTGATGGAGTGCCCCATTCCTGAATCTCAGAATTCTATCCTGGAGGTAGTGTTACATTGGAAACCTGAAACGCTGCACTATTTTGGTAAGCTCCCTCTGGGGCTGGAGCCCAATCTTCAATCCTTGCTATGTAACTGGTCTCCCATTACCAGCTTGCTCCCATCTCCCTTTCTCCTCATCTAGCCAAAGAGCAAGTTGGTCACATGGGACCTGATCACAGTCTTCCGGTGGTTATTATCTTTTGGAAGTCAAGGTGCCTGTCTCTTTATTTGTAGAAATCTTTACTTTAACATCGGATCTGCAGGGCTGGAGAGATGACTCAGCGGTTAAAAGCACTGCTCTTCCAGAGGATCCTGGTTCAATTCCCACGACCCACATGGCAGCGCACAACTGTCTGTAACTCCCATTCCAGCTGATCTGGCACCCTCACACAGACATTCATGCACATAAAATAAAATAAATAATATTTTTTTTAAAAAAATTAGAGCTGTTTTTGTGTTTAAAGTATTTCACAACTAAGTCTTTTTAAATGTTTTAATTATAAATCTCCAAAATATTCTTTGACAAAAAAATGTATAAATGACATGCAATGTGACCTTAAAATGTTTTAAAAGAAGAAGGAGAAGGAGAAGAAGAAGAAGAATCCCAATCTATACATTTTTTTTTTAAACACACAATGAGGTTAAAGAAAAAAAGTTTGCCTCTGTGGAGAGACTAGGGAGGTGCAGCTCCAAAAGACTGAGGAAAAGAAAGAGAAAGAGAGAAAGTGAAAGTGAAAACAGATAGCCTGGGAGGAGAAAGAACCAGGAAGTTGCTGCACCACGAGGGACAGGAGTCCCCTTCCGCAGCCCTGCTGAACACACTTGCCTAGAATGCTTGATCTTCATCTTTTCCTTCCCCTCCACATCACTCACCAGTAATTTGCTGCCTGCCTTCCCTGTTGTTAGCCACCCTAAGATGTTTACACATGAGGGTGCTCTCCCTTCCTTCCCAAGCCTCAGTCGCAAATCATAGGGAGCTGGGGCTTCATTTCACAAAGCCCTGAATTCTCCTTCTGTCTTTTCTTGTTTTTATTTTTTGGAAGTAGTCTGAACTGGCCTTGAACTCATCACCATCCTCCTGTCTGAGCAGCTGAGATTCCAAGTGCATACCTCCATGCCTGGCTCATCTTCTTCATTTCTGTTGAAGAACTTTAGAAAGGTTTTCATTTGAAGTGGCAACCTTAGTTTTCTTGTGAAGGACCTAACTTTTCACAGGGTCACATTACAGAGAAAAGATAAGGATGTGTACTGTTTTGCTCATCAAAAGTGGGTTTATTAGTTATTATTATTTTCTTTGAGATCTTTTTTAGCCTCAGGTATGCTTGTCTTGCTTGTTTAACAACAACTTCTCTTTGAATTCCTATTTCAGGGTAAGTTTTCCGTTCTGACCCTTCAAAGTATGACTCTAAGCTTTGGAAAGCATCCTGAATTCTTGCTAAGAGTATGTGGTCACATTAAAAAAGAATAATGAAGCTACGGAGTTCCCAATGACACATGGACAATCTTTTCTGTCCCTTCTCTCCAAAGGCCTCATTAAATTGAGAGGAAAATATAGCTACAAAAGCAACCAAAACAATCTAAAAAGTGGTATGCATAAATATTTTGTTTACAATACAACAGGAATGTAGAATTACAGGTCAGAATGTTACACAGGTAAAATCCCTATAGTGGGCTCCACTTTTGCTGGAACAGTGATGCTGTTTTGGATCTAACACATTCAGTTTATTCACTTGGGCCAGAAATACAAATACCCCCAAGACAGATTTTTGGAGAAGCATATTATTTTTTAAATGACAATGCCAAAAAAATCCAGTGTAGTGGCACAAGCCAGGTACTCGGGAAGCAGAGGCAGGTGGCCAGTTCAAGGCTAGCCTGGGCTACAAAGTAAGTTCTGCAACAATCAGGGCCACACAGAAAAACTGTCTCAAAAAATAAATAAATAGTTAATTAAAATTAAAAATAAAAAAAATCCAAGAGCCTCAACATGTGTGCATCCACTAATTAAGAATGTGATTTTCTTTTCTACAAGCTGTGCAGAAAATATACTTGGGAGTGATGTTTTTAAAATATTTATTTAGAGACCAGGTCTTGCCTTATAGCCTAGGTTGGCCAGGAACTCTACTTTCCAAGGGCTAGGGTTTCAGGTGACTTCCACCAGGCCTGGCTCTGATGCTGTGCTATCCTCTACCTGAGCAAAATAAAATGTGTGCTTTACAGGCTTCCGTAGTTAGCCACCCATGGCATATTCACTTGAATCAAATACTGACCACGCTATGAGGGTCAAAGTCTTGGACCAGCCGGGGTGCCAAGAAAAACAGATACTCATTAAACGGCCTTTGATCATTCTGAAGGTGTTTGTTTTGCAAAAATCAATTAAAATAATTATCTGCCTTGTTATGACTGCAATTTCCTACTTGGCTAAATTAACTCTTACGGTTTTTCATTTTCTTTACATTACTGTTTTTATTTATGTACAAATGCTGGGGCAGGGGGCATTTTGGTTTGTTTAACTTTGTTTTTGTTTTGTTTGTTTTCTTTCCAAGATTTCTGAATATATTTTCATTTATTTATCATGCTATTACTTTGTAAGCACTAAAGAAAAATTTACTTCTCCAAAGTATGCCTCTTCGCCCTCGAATCTGCTTCATTCTAAGGCTGCCCTAAAGGTACAGAGAACACTTTTTTAGCGCCAGAAATGCCACAGATTTGGGCCCTGTCCTCATTCTGGCACATACTCCCTAGTAGGGCCTGGCCAAGGAAAGCTCAGTAGAGGTCTGGGTTTCAGTTTACCTGAAGACAATACCTGGTTCCAAGAAAGACCACCCAGGCACCAACCAGGAATCAATTCAACCATTGTAGATAGGATCACCTGCCAGCACACACCCATCGCTTTTCACCAGGACACCCCTAGACAAACGTCAGTCAACCAGAAGTCCTGAACCTTAGAAATCCCCCAGCCCAACCTCTGGTTTTATATATATAAAAAAAACCCACCCCAACTGAGCCTGAGGCTCTCTTATCGTGCCAATGCGTTGGACACGGGGAGAATACGAGTTTGAACTTGAATAAGAATAAAGGTTCTTTGCTTTTACATACAAAGGTTTCCTAGTTCTTTTGGGGGGACTCCGTGATCTGGGCATAACAGTCGCAGTTGAAGTATGGGTAGGATGCTATGAACCACGCAATACACTGCACCAAGCGCCCCGAAAGTGGTGCAGAAACCGCAGTGGGTTCCTGCTGAGGCTGCCAATCAGTGTGCCCAGTGCACACACGTTTCCCAGGATCTGTCACTGAACTAGGCAACGACCCCGCGTGATCCCCAAAGCGTGCGGTGCTCGGGTGAACTGGCGGTTCTGAATCCCACACCTGGTGCAACACAGGGATGACCAACCCCGCAGTGCACTGGTCTGGAACAAGGTGACAAAATTAAACGCCGATCCGAGATGCTCAGAATCACCCGGACCCTGCTCGAATCTCTACATCCCACTCCATCAACCGTGCGCGCTGCCCATCTCCGGGATAAAGGCCACCCTTAAGCTTACTCTATCCCCAAGAGCTGATATCCTGGTCCTGGCTCCAGCCCCTGTGTGGTGCCCTTGGCCTCTGTGGCGCGAAGCACGTACCCACGTCTCCCAAAAAGCTGCCGTCCCCGGCGCGCGGCTCCATGGGGCTCAAAGGCTCTGGGGCCCTACCTACCGGCCTTGTGACTCCGGGCACTGGGACCTGAGCCTGGACTTAAGCCCGAACCCAAGCCGGGACGTGCCAGGACCTACCCGGACGCACAGGCCGCTGGGCGGGGCCTGACTGCTTTCGTGGCCACCTCTGGGAGTTGTAGTTTCTGTTGATTCGCAGCTTGCTGCTTGCTACCCACACCCGTGTCACCTCAAAAAGGTGTGCATGCTTGCGCATGCAAACTGAAGTGTGCAAAATGTGCTCCCGTGTGACTTTTCCTGTTATATTTTGCTAGACTTGATATCAGGGGATAATGAACTATGAGTGATTTTGGAAATTTTACCTCATCTGTTTTGTAAAAGGGGTTGTGAAGCATTGATGTCACCTATTCTTTAAACTTTTTTTTCCCCAGAATTCATGATAAAGGTGTTTGGTCCTGGGATTTTGTGTGTGTGTGTAAACTTTTAAATTACTAACTTAAACCTACTTGAGATGTTTGTTCATATTTTCTATTGCTTTTTAAATTATTTTAAATTACATTTATCTATTTGTCATAAGCATATGTGCAGACATCAGAGGACAGCTTGCAAGAGTCAATTTTCACCTTCCATAATATAGGTTCTTAGGTGTGTACTCAAGTTGTTAGATTTAGAGGCAAGTGCCTTACTTAGCTCACTGAGTCATCTTGCTAGCCTACATTTCTATTTCTTCTTGGGTCAGTTTTAGCAATCTGTTCCTTTCTCAAAATGTGTCTATACAATTTACCTAATTTGTTGCCTTGAGTAGTTCCTTAGAATATTATTTTTTCTGTGTTTTCATCGCTGTTCTTCTGCTGTGAAAGAAATGACCAAGGCAATTTTTTGTTGTTGTTTTGGTTTGGTTTGGTTTGGATTTGTGAGACATGGTTTCTCTGTAGACTGTCCTGGAACTCACTTTGTAGACCAGACTGGCCTCGAACTCAAAGAGATCTACCTGCCTCTGCCTCTTGAGTGCTAGGATTAAAGGCATGCGCCACCACCACCCAGGTCTAAGGCAATTCTTACAAGAGAAACTATTTAGTTGGAGGCTTGCTTATAGTTTCATAGTTTCAGAGGTTTAGTCCATTATCATTATGGCAGGAAGCATGGTGGCATGGAGGCAGGTGCTGGAGCAGTAGCTGAGATTTACATCAAAATCATTAGGCAGAGAGTTCCACTCCCTAGTAACTAAACACTCAAATATATAAACCTCTGGGGCCATTATTATTCAAACCATCACATTCTACTTCCTGATCTCAATAGGCTGCAAGCCTTATCAAAATGCAAAAATACATTCAGTCTGACTTCAAAATTTCCCACGTCTACTACAATCTCAACTGTTTAAAAGTTCAAAGTCTCTTCTGAAACTCATGGCAATCACTTACATGTAACCCCCCTGTAAAATCTAAACCAAAAAGCAGATCACAAACTTCCAACATACCGTGACACAGAATATACATTACTATTCAAAAATGAAGGTAGGAAATATAGTGAGGAAATACTAGACCAAAGCAAATCTAAATCTCAGCAGGGCAAACTCCAAATTCTGTATTTCCATGTCTGATGTCAAAGGGCACTTCAGATCTCCAACCCCTTTCAGCTTTGTTGACTACAGCATTTTTCTCTTTCATATGCCAGTTCCATACCCTGTGTGCAATTTTCCTTGACAAGTGTCCCATGACTCTGGCATCTCCACCATCTTGGAGTCTCTAACATAATCCAGAATTCTTCTTTACAGTTTTATAGATAGCCTTCCTGGGCCTCCTTGCAGGGACTTCCCTGACCTGGCCTGGGCTGAGCAGCTTTCCTTAGCTACAAATGGAAACTCCACAATCAATTTCTTGTGTCCTTGACTATAAAGTCAGAACCACCTAACTGCTTCCCCATTCCAGTCTCACCCGGAAGCTGCCAAGTTCTACTGCTTGCCAGCCCTGGAACTTGGACCCCTCCTTCAGTCACATTTGCATGAGCTTTGTGTTTTTAATGACGTCCTTCATCGCTGAAGCTTTTCTTTTTCTTTACTTTCACAAGTTGGAAGATTAGCCAGGTGGGGTCTTGCCCTGAGGTCAACACTCCTTTTAGTCCCTCTAGAATCAGGCTTTGCTTTAAACTTTTTCTCTTTCGTCACAGGACTTGACTCCAACAAAACCCTGCCGAGTACTCTTTTTCTCCTCCAACTGCACACTTCTCACTTTGCTTTGTCCATCTTGCTCCTTTTTATTAAAAATCTGCATAAGACTGATTACTAATAACTCTATGACTAAGTCAATACTCCACTGTTTTTCTTTCTGAGAAAAATGAGCAACCCATTCCCAAGCTAGAAGGACTGAGTCTTACACTGTAGTTTGACTGTCTACCTGTCTACTTTACCAATAATGTGATAATCACACACCAGCCATCTTTTTGCACTGAGCTAATTTTTTGTGGTTTTGCTTTATTTTATTGTAGGCACTCCTTGGGATTATGCCATGTGTAATAATAGGAGGCCTTAATTTTTTTTAACTTCATGTGTATGTTTTGTCTGCACATATGGCCGTGTATCACTTGCATGCCTTTTGCCCTTGGAAACCAGAAGAGAATGTCAGATCTCTTGGAATTCGGATTACAGAAGGTTGTGATTTACTATGAAGATTCTTGAAATAGAACCTGAGTCCTCCAGACACCCCAGGAGGCCTTCTCTTTAAAAAACTGTTTCTTTTATATTTTGGAGATTAATATCATTAGATAATCCTTCCCTGTCCTCTTTCCAAACCCTTCTCTATACTTCTCCTTGCTCTTTTTCAGATTCATTGTCTATCTTCATTGTTGCTACATACGTATATAAAAACACATATACACACTCTTAAACAAATAAATACAACCTTCCTAGTTTGTATAATGTTACTTGTATGTTTTCAGGGATGGCCATTTTTAGTATTGGGTAACAAATTAGAGTGCTCTTTCCAGGGGAAAAAGAGTTTTTCCAGGTTACAGTCTTATTTAGCTGCCTAGAATTCTTTCTCTAGGGCTGGGATTCCCTCACTTTCATGTTAGTTCTAGAATCTCTCCACCCACTCTTCCACAGTGTTAGGTGATGGAGTGTATTGTAGATGTATCCACTGAGATTGGACCTTCTGCATTTTGATTGGTTATAGTTTTGTGTAATTGCCCCCATCAGTTGCAAAGGGAAGTTTCCCTGATGTGGTATGAGGACTACAATTATCTGTGAGTTTAAGAATAAATGTTTAGCATATAATTAGTGACTAGGCTGGTAAAGTGGTGGTTATAGTTCTCCAAGATCCATGACATCACCAGCCCTAGTAACTGGCCTAGGTTCCAGTACCAAGGCATGAATGCTCTCTTGATGAGTAGGTCTTAAATCTGATTAGAGAGATGTTAGCTGTAATGGTAAAAAATAAAACAGTGCCGTTCCCCAAGGGGTGGCAGCAGGAAGCGAGCAGTGAGCAGCAAGCCACAAGGGGCAGCGGGTCCCAGGCAGGAGAGAGACCTCAGGGGGTCAGCAGGTCCCAGGAGGAGCAAGGAGTGGGTAAGAGACAGAGAGGATAGGCACATCATGCAGAGAAAGTGGGTATTTATTTAGTGGGCTATAGAAGGGAAGGGAAAAAGGGAGAGGGAGGGAGAAGGGAGACAAGGAGAGAGAGATAGAGAGAGAAAGAGAGAGAGAGAGAGGAGAAGAGGAGAGAAGAAGCTACCTCTTCCAGAGAGAGACAAAAAAGAGAAGAGTGCGCAGGTTGGAAGCAGAGGGACAGAGGAAGGAGTGGGGAGGGGTTTGTCTCTTAAAGGGACAGGACAAACCAGTACATTAGCTACTATCAAGGTATGTGTGCCACTATTGTACTCTAAGGATTATGGTGCCATGTGGGTCATTGTTGTGATTCACTGGTGTCAGAGCTATGTAGGACTGTTGGTTGACTCTCTCATTTGGAAGTCTACATGGTACCTTTTGGTAGCACGAAAGCTAGTCTTCAGCTAGCTTTCAGGTCAGTTCCAGTTCAGGGGCCTTTGGGTCCTGTGTCTGAGGTGCATGGTGTCTTCAGTAATAGGGACTTACTTTCTACCCCAGGAGGTCTTCTTAAACTAAGAAGTCATTCTCTTTCTAATTTCCCCCTCTTTTATGAATTGTTTACCTATCATATAAAATAATGGGTACATGTGGTTTGAGTAAGAATGGCCCCCATAAGGTCATATATTTGAATGCTTAGTCACTAGGGAGTGGCATTATTTAAAAGGATTAAAAGAAATAGGAGGTGTGACATTATTGGAGGAAGTATGTCTTTAGGGGTAGGTTTTAAGGTTTCAATAAGCACACACTCTCTCTGCATAATTATTATGATATGATGTAGCTCTCAACTACTGCTCTATAACCTGCCTCCATGCCCACCATGCTCCCTGCCATAATGATAATAAATTAAACCTCTGAAACTCTAAGGAAGCCCCAACTAAACGATTTCTCTCATAAGAGTTGCTTTGGTCATGGTGTCTCTTCACAGCAATAAAACAGTGACTAAGACAAGGATTATGATGTGTGTGTGTTTATGCATATATATTCCTTGTACTTTGTACATATTCACATCTGAGATTGATGCTATTATTCAAATGGGAAAGTAAAATTAGCATCTAACTTAAGAGAAAATTTGGAACAAGATTTTAAATAACAAATCATTATTGAACCAATTTTACAGGGCTTTTCTCCCAAAGCAGTAGAATGAACAAACTCAGTATGCTGTGGTTGTTTGAATGCATTGTTCTTTGTCTTCTCCCAACACTAGTTCTTTCTTCTTTCTCCTTTAATGGAACATACTTTGTCAGTATTTAACGACTGAGATTGTGTTTAAGTAAAATTTTGTACAAGGTATCATGGGGGATGGAAACGAAAAGGAAACTATGATCCTCAAACTAAGTCTCTTCTATTTTCTTCCTCTGCTACACACTTTCAAACACAGTATTTTATGTGACCATTAGAGTATTTCCAAAACACAGTTCTCATCAGACCCCATCATACATCTGACACACTAGAAACCTGGCAATGGGCTATTTCTTGACATGGTTAGTTTAAGACAAACGATTAAGGTGTAGTCTGTGTAGTTTTTTATAGGTTC